AGACAATCATGGCAAGGATAGTTTTGGAAGAGGGAGCTGGCTATACTGGATGGATTAGCAAAATGTCAGCATTGGCAATTAAGTTGTGAGACCAGTAGGAGATTTAATACTTAATGGAGCTATAATTACTTGTCTAAAATTATTTAAACAGAAGGCTTAGAGACCGTGACAAGTTTTTTTTTTTTCCAAGTTCAATAGTACACATACTGTAGCTTGAGTTACACTTAAAGTGAGCTCAGACACGGCCTGTATGTATTGCTGAATTGCTTTTATCTTGAAGAGGAAAAATGATATTCTTGTAAACGTTGTTAATAATTAAAGTCTCTTAGAAGGGACAGTAAACTTGGGATTTATATCTACCCCTAGCTATTTGAGATTGGAATGAGTCCTGATGTGCAAAACAAACTCCTTTGTGTTTGCTCTGAAGCGTCTGCTTCTGCATTGTGGAGCCAAGTTCTGGGACTAAACAGATGTTGGGTTTAATAAAGCATGGCAATTGTAGACAAGGCTATGATTCTTTGGGGGTGTTCCCAGCTTATTTAGAAAGAAAGAGTTGTTGTTGGTAGATGTAATAATACTGTATTAAACTAAGTGACTTGCTGATAAATTGTATCTGTATTTTTTTGAGCAAATAATTAGATTAATTGCTTTTCAAGAGAAGACAACTTTTTTTTTTAATGAACCATGCATTTATTTAGTGTGTTTCAAGAAAAAAATTTTTAGATTTCATTGGTAATTTACTGCTGGGGATAGGATTGACTATTCTGGAGTCAGTGTACTTCGTATTACTTGGTGTTTCTTGTGGCTATCCCACTTCAGCATGTGAGGAAGCAGAATCTGTTTAACCTTGTGTTCAGAAGTGACTTTGGGATCCCCTGGAGCAGCAATTCTGTGCAGTGGGGGCTGTTATGAAAGTCAGGTTTAGGGAGAATCATGGTTAAGTGAGAATTAGATGCTATTTAAAAAATACTGTGGTAGTTGTGTTCCCAATACTGACCAACCTTTTATGTTGTCTGAAGACTTGAGCCTCTACTGCCTTAACCAGCATACAGTGTTAGAGACACAACAGTAGTGCCTCTTAATCAAAAGCAACTTGCAAATTTAAGTGGTTACATGTTTTATTTGAGTGATATTTTCAGCTAAAGGCAGCTGTTTCTAAAAGAAACATGTCTGCTATTTAATAGCATTTTTGAAAATGATTTAAGGTGGTGACTGGAATTTAATTTAGTATTATTTAATAGCATCTGTCTTGGAAATGTGTTGGAGGTCATGGGTAGCATGTAACCATCTAAGTTGTTGTTAAAATGCCAGGAAAGTAAATTTTGTTGGTTTTTTTTTTTTGGTTTGGGTTTTTTGTTTGTTTGTTTTGTTTTTTGGTGGTTTTTTTTTCAATTTTTAATTATTTTTAGGCATTTGTCCTGTAGGATATTCATGAACTCCAAAGGAAAGACCAGTTTCTTTTGTAACCTGATGGCTGGAGTTTCTCAGAAATGTCTGTTTTATTTAAAGCTGGGCCTACGGCTGTTTAGGTTGTAGGAGCTAAAGGTGCTCAGGCTGCATCGTAACGTCATCGCAGAGCACTTCATCAGGTTTTGAGATAGCATAAGTTCCTGACGGAAGGAGTTAGCTTTGTGACACCCGTTGTATGTTGTTTCTAAGTATGGTCATCTACAGTAAGTATCAGTAGAACTTGCTGAGATTTTGACTTTAGAGGAGTATAGTGAATATAATGTTCTTCGACGAAAAAAACCCCCCAACTTCCTGGAATATAACAGAGAGAGAAAAATCTGCACGTTTATTTGATGGCTCTAAGATTTGTTGGCTGACAAATTAGTGGAAGGCAAAGCTCGCAAAGTCCACAAACCTACTAACTAGCTCTACAAGTATTTGGAGCTCAAGCTAGCAACTGGATTTTTCTGACAGATCTCAATGGCTTGATGTTTATTTTATTTAGAGGAAGAAAAATAATTGGCTAGTGCCTTATTTTTCTGTCACTTTGAGAAAGTGCTGTGGAATAGAAAAATGTTCTCTGCAGTTTGGAAGGAGCCAGCCAGGCGCTAGGACACAGGGAGAGCTCGCAAAGGGTTCTAGCCAGCAACTCAACCTGTTGCTTCAGAGTATGGCTTTGGCCACAGAACTGGGCATGTTCTTGGGCAATGTGTATTTGACACTGACTCTGAAAATAGACAATAAATATTTTGCTAAAACTCACTTTTAAAGCGCTGTTTATTTTGGAGGATTTGTTTTAATGGAATTTAATCTACTGGGATACTGCAGGAAATCTGGAAAGTATGCAGACTCTTTCCAAGGTCTAGCTTGCAACCTGTTCACATCACTCTTGTATTGTTGGGGAAATGGGTTAAACTGGGGGGCTTTGAGAGCTGCAGCAAGCTATGAGAATAGCTTGTGAAATAGAGAAGAAAGCGGAGTTACTCACCGTGGGAGGATGGGCTAAGGATTTAGGGCACGGTCAGAGTGCTGCCATGGGGAACTCAAGAATTATAGGTTAAGGTGGAGGAATTTGAAGGCAGGGCTCCACCTGCCTCTTGTTTATCTTCTCCCTTGGGTGTTCATCTTGGAGCAAATGAGCTGCTCCTTACGTGAGCTGGAAAGCACGAGCAGAGGACGGGAACTTGAGGCACACACGGACTTAAGCTGTCTGTACTCCAAGAAAGAAAGGTTTAAATGTATGACCTTTAAGTCATTTAAAGGTGCAAGGAAGGGACTTGAGCCAAAACATGGGTCCAGGGCCAAGAACATTGTTTTTGGCTTCTGCAGTAGTTGGGCTGCAGAGCTGAGATGTCCATGTACAAGCTGAACCTTGATTCTTCTCCTTCAAAGCTATGATCCAGTATTCTCGTATATTATGCAAACTGGTTTCTCTTCTACTTTATTCTCTAGCTTTAGTATTCATTGGCTTTATTTCAAAGGTAGTGTACACTGAGTCTTGGGCTTTTTTCTTTGAAGCCGCAAAATTTGTATTCAAGTAAGATGCATTCGTTCTGTTCTGTGAGTAAACATTCCACCAAAGTTCTGGAAGCCCTCTTAAATGAATTACATTTTATAATCCTTTAATGCTTCTCCACAGAATTCCCTGGCACAAACTTCCTCTTTTGCTCCTAGGCCACTTTTAAATTTCTCTTCCTGCAGGTACCCCATGACAAAAATGCCTTCTGCAAATGGTGCAGACAGTGTCTTCAGAGCTTTTTGCTAAATGAGACATACTTGAGGTTATAAGGTTTTTATATCTCCCTCCCCTTTGGTCAGATGTCAAGGGAGGTGGTAGAAACCAAACTGCCTCATAAAAATAGAGCTCCCTGGGTGCATGATGGCAGCGTTACAGCGGTGGAGTTGTTATAAGAGCAGATGTACTGAGTCAGTGTAAAGTTTCATCTCGCTGTATTCTGTCTCCTACACCAGCTAATACTGATGGTGGAGGATGGAGTACTAGAATGGAGGGAGGGAGTGTGGACTGGTATTTTCCCAGCCTGTAGTGTCCCCTGCAAACAAAATTTAGAAAATAATGAACATTTTCCTCATTTTTGTAGGATATATCAACTTTTAAAGATGTCTTTATTACTTAATAGTATCCTATATTCTACTCTCCATCTGTGCCGGCATTTTGTTGTTTATGAAATATTTGGTTACTGTGCATTCGCTCTAAATCTCAAATATAAGTTCTTCAGATTGCAGCTTTTCGTTGAATCTCTTGGTTTCTTTTTAGTAAGTTTTCCTCATTTTCATACTGTTCTTTATTAATATTAACTGCTACTAGAATGGTCTTTTCTGGAAGTACCTGCTTCTGCAAAGATGATGAGTCTAAGAGAATTGGTACTGGAGTGATTCTTGAAACAGATCCTGTATCTTTGTTGAGACCAAGGGAAGAGTTGCTGCTGGATAGTAGCTTACATCTTCTAGTATAGCTGTACCTGTTCTTATGTCTTATGCCAGCTCAGGATTGAGTATTTAGGTTACGCAGTAATACATTGCACAGCGCTTTTATCTTAGTGGGCGTGTTTTTTTAAATATAAACTTTTAAAGCTATTAGTCACAGTTATTTCTTCTCAAAAGATGGAAGAGTATTGAAGCTGATGTCCTGGAAAGACGTAAGATGCTTAGGAGCATCCCTAGCAAGTAGTTAATAGCATCATGGTGGATTTTCCTTTAAATTGTTTATAAAGGTGAGAAGTGCTGATAACCAGCATGGGGAATTGAAATCTCATTCTATGCACAGATCAAGTACAACATGGCTAGTCATGAAAAGAGGTTTTGGAGTGCATCTCTACCAACTTCTGTGGTGTTGCTTCAAAAAGCGGTTGTGTTTCTGATGTGTTAATTTTTTAGCTTTTCCCCCCTTGAAGCAGTTGATTGGAACCAACCCATTATTTTACAAAGATCAGGAGGTTCATGTATGGTCAGTAGTACCTTTCGTCATTTGATTCAGGGTAACTGTGCAGTATGATAACACCTCTGCTTACTCTTCCAAGGTGGGAGCTTTCAAGGCGTAGATCATTGATGGCACGCAGGAATTAGCTGCACGATGGACTCACTTTCTTGACAATAGGAGTAATTTTCTATCTATGCATATTCAGTTGGAAAATATATCTCTGAATAGCTTGTCAGTTTGACACCTCTGTTTAAACTGTGAGTTCCTTGCAGTTTTCCCCACTGGTAGCAGCCTTGATATTGATCCAACTGTGACACTGTGTTCTTGCCGAGTGTAACTTATGAAAATCCAAGTGAGATGATGACTGAGGTATATAGCACAGTAATTTTAACTTCCTTCGATGAAGATGTTATTGTCTTAAGTTTGTTGGAAGAAAGATTTTTTTTTTTTAATATCTTCCTATGCGCCTGTTTTCTACATTTCAGTAATTGCTCAAAGTAGTGAACTAAAGCTTTACCGATAGCTAATTTAGGGTCTGTATATTCCTTATTTGTACAAAAAACTTTAAATGTTTCTCTCTTCTTGTTTTTTTTTTTTTTTTCCTTCCTTGAAGAAATGAAAATTTAGAAAGGGATTTGCCAAATAAAGAAGATGGGAGCAAATAGCAGCAGCATCAGTGAGCTTCCAGAAAATGAGTACTTAAAAAAATTATCGGGAGCAGAGCCCATCTCCGAGAATGATCCGTTCTGGAATCAGCTGCTGTCTTTTAGCTTTACCACTCCAACAAACAGGTAAGAGGGAACTAAACTTTGACCAATATGTTTATGGAAGTGACAAGTCTGAAAGCAAAATGAGTGGTTACATTAATTATTCCTGTTTTAGGTAGCAGAGGAATAAATGCCTCTGTAAAATGGACTGTTGTTTCTAATTTTGGAAGCTCTTTCCACCACCTCTTCCATTCCTTTGGGTTCCTTTCTTCTTCATAATAGGTGTAATTGCTATTCATTCTCCTGGTAGCTGGGAAAGATCAGAAGGAGGGTCTGTAGTGTTGGGAGGGAGCTTTTCTTTTTTTCATTTGGTTGTTTTTTTGGTGGTTGTTTTGGGGTGCTTTTTTTTTTTTCTTTGAGAAAGCCTCTGGTGTCTCTGGAGTTGCTGAAGACTCCAACGTGTGATGTTTCCTCTCAACTTACAGTGAATTGTACATCTTCCATGACTTAATTGTATATTAGCAGTTCTGTTTCTTAGTCTGGTGCTTTCCGCCCCCCCCCTTTTTACGTTTTAAAAAGGGGCTTGGCACGATGTCTCCATAAAAATATTTTCTAAATATCTAAAATTCAAGTTTTGCATGTCTTTTCACCCTAGCAAGAGGTGTAGACATAAACAGAATTAATATTTTTGAGAGGATCCGTAGCACTTCTCCAGAAGTACAGAACATAAGTCCTTGTGACTTCTGCTAACCCAAGTCCATTGCTAAATTCATTGGCTGGTGTGTGGATTATCAGTCTTACAAGAACAATCGGGTATTACTTAATACTTTCAAGTGTTACTTAAACTGTTTATACAGTTTACAGTGTGACCCGATACTTTTTTGTCAGGTGAATGTGTTATTTACCCCCTTTATTATCAGCAGTGTTTCCTTGCAAAGGACCTAGCTTTTTCATAAAGGGTCGTAACAGACTACGTCTAAACACTTGTGTAACAGGTTTAAATAGGCCACAATGTGTTACTGCTAAAATTGGGAACACTTCTAATCTTTATTAAATTGGAAATGTGTTTGAGAGCTGTTCTGGCCAATTAATTTTATTGTCATCTTTCAATTTTTTTTTTTTGTTTGTTAAAACAGAGCTCCTCTCAAAATGAATGGTAGTCAAAGGGTTGTTTTTTTGTTTTTTTTTTTTCAGAAGGTGAAAAAATAGTTCAGATTTATGACTACTCTGAGCTGTGGAACCTTGAATATAAATTAGTGATTGAATGAAGAATGGAATACAATTTCTAGTGAGATATAGTTTACTTGTTACATGATTTACCTCTCTGCTGTGTCTTGTGCACAGTAGATTCTGAAAGGCAAAGAGACATGTTTATTTTCATAACAATTAGGAGGAGATCTGGTACATAATCTGTCTCATACTAGAGTGCCTGTGAGTAAGTGAAAGTTCAGACGACTGGAGGGAAAATGTTTAAGGTAGAGAGCTGGGAGACATTTTCTAGGCATTATTTTTGTAAAGAGTGAGGAGGAGGAAGGATTTTGGCTTCTGCATGGAGAGAATAGCTAGAGCGTAGCAAGAAGGTACAGTGTTGTGAAGGGTTGTAAATCTTGTAAAGAGTGGTACGTAATTGGCAGTAGGTGAGGGAGCAGGCATGTTTTCTCTAAGATCCCTGAAGGTGCAAGAATTGTTTACAGTCTACCCATGACTAACAAGATGGACAATATTCTAAGTTGTCATATAATACTGCATTGTTTGTTTTGTTTGTTTTTTTTTTAAGTGGGAAATAGTTATATATAAAACCACAGCAATCTCTTTCAGTTGTTCTACTGCTCCTCCCTCCCTCACCAAAGTAAAGTTTTTCATAATTTGCTTTGCAGCTTTTTTGTGCCTATTTCATGGAGTCAGATCCAGTGCAGAGTAAGTTTGCTTAAAAAAACAAACCAAAACAAAAACACCAACCAAACAAAAAAACCCAAATAAGAAACATAATTAAAAAAACAGGCAAACAAAAAAACTGATCCAAAAGCAGGTTGAAAGTTTAATTAGCTGAACACCAGATGGTGCTCTTGCCTGGCAGCTAGAAGAGAAATATTTTTAGCGGCATCTTTTGTGCAGCTTAATAATTGGAAGGAAACAGAAATTTCCCATTAAGTTGCATCTACCTGAAAACCATTTGACAAATGATGTCAGATGATGTTGGCTGCACAGCACCCTCAGCCATTGTCTAAATCAGATAACCTTGCCTGCAGGAACAGAACAATAGAGGTCAATGTTCATTTCTGAGATTGAAAGCTTGCGAAATATCAAGTTAACTCTGTTTTGTTTTAATGAGGCTTGAATGTGGGTAATACTTTTGACAGGAGCAAGATGCTAGTTTCTGACTGTTGTGGAAAGGAGCCAGTTTTCACCTGTCAAACAGGACAGAATTTTAAAGTTTTCTTGTCTTTTCAAATTATTCTTTTTTCCAGTTGTCTGTTGCAAAATTAATGACTGTTTGCAAGTGTTATTGGGAGCCATATAAATGGGGTGTGTGTTGTTTTTCGTGGAGGTAATTGATGATACTCTAGAGTAAAAGAACTGTCCTACTTCCTCAGATTTTTGCAAAGATGGGACTGATGTGATCCCCAGGGAGAAGAGGGTTGTATTCTCTGGGTGCTGCTTTGGACATACTTCTGTTCTACATACAGCAGTACTATAGGGAAGGAGGAGGAGAAAAACATAAAAGGAGAAGGTAGTAGGAAAATGCATGGTAGTAGGAAAAGCACCCACCCATCCAACCAACAACAAAAAAACCCCAACCAAAAACCAGCAACACACAGGAGGTGGTGGGGCTGGGGTAGATTGCCTCCTTTCAGCGACAGATGCCTGACATTCACCTTGTTGTCATGAAACCTTGCCCATAGCAAGGAACCAGTATCTGCAAGGAAGGCAAAGGGTACTTTTGATACTTTTAAGGGAAATTTGAATCTGTATGTGTAAGTAAAGTTTGTGGGGTTCTTAAAACTTTTCTGTGCATGCTTTCTCTCTAGTGATGATTATGTGAATAGTGCTTTGCTTTACAGAAGCTGTTCCAGATTAGTCCAGGTACTGCTGATCGTAGCTGCCAAAGGGAGATCTTTTAGGCTGCCAAACAGAGTTGGATCTTCTGAGGAACAACAGTCTTTTAATCCCCCAAATGAGAAGCTCAGGGCCTTGGCTTCAGAGTTGGTGAATTACTGGCTTCCTAATCTGAGAAAGATGAAGGTGTGATACCATATCTGATTTTTTTTAATGGTATTGCTTTGTTTACTTTTCTCTTTGTCTTCATTTTCTTATGCTTTGCTTTTCTCAGCACTTTGTGTTCATTTCTTTCTTTGTCATTGTTTTGCTTTTCTCCTGTTCTCATTTCAGTTTGGTTGATCTCTTTCTCCATTCATCAATTTCTCATCTTCCCGGTTGTCTCTTTTGCTTTCTCTCCCCACTCCTACCTGATTGTACATGTTAATCTCTCTTTGTGTGGTTCTGTGTATAGTTCTTTAGCATTGCTTATTTACTCAGCCATGTCTTTACTGGGTTTATTTTTTCAGTCCAGTTAACTTTTTCATCTGTTTCTGTGAAGAACACAAGGTAGTTTGCAGGGGGGAATAAAGTTTGCCAAATACCAGTGTTACTGACTGCAACGTTGCTGTGTCTCTGTCAGCAATACTGATGTAAGATACTCAAGCCCTTTCACTATCCCTTCCAGTGTTTATTTGGGTCTGCTGTGGGTTTAATCAGGAACTAATCTGTCTGAAAAACAACACGGCAAAAAAGTGTTTATTTTTTCAGCCAAGTTAATTCCCTCGAGTGATTGATAGCATGGCACCACAGAACAATTCTGGCACAATGAGGGATTGATTTTTGGGGCATAGCAGGCTGTTGGGCTAAAAGGTGGCATTGCTTAAATCTGATGTGCTATCCAGAAATGAATGCGAAAGCATGTGGTCAAAGCAGAGCTGGCTGCTGGGAGTGTAATATTGTGCTTTTCTGGGCTGTTTGTTCTTCCTGTCATAATGTTGATTTTCTTAATAGCTAAGCAAGCATTAAGAGGGGATATGAAGTGGGAGTAATTCTGGTCTGTGCATTCACAAACCCTGATTATGAATCAGCTGTCAGTAATGAGAAATGAGCTGATGGTGAATCCCTGCTCATTGCCTGTGACTTCCCTGGCATGAGTGATAGTAACAGCCAGAGCAAGTCTTGGGTACTTGGCAGGTAAAGCCACTGGGGCCTTGCACAATTTAGGAGTGGTAGGAGATAAGTGATGTATGCCTAAGTGATAGTAAAAGGAAAAGCTGCTCTTCCGTAAAGCAGGTCATGGATGCTAGGCAGATAAAATCCCCTTGGGCTACAGAAGTGTCTGCCAAGAAATTTCTAGTTTCAGCCATTAGGAAGTACTTGGTAGTCTAAATTCACACTCCTGCATATTCTCTTTTTTCTTCACAGATCCTTATTTGTTGCATAGAATGGACTCACGGGAGCTGAATTAAAATTGTGTAAAACGTCTTAAATCTGCCACTTCCTACGTTTAAAGTGGCTGACTTATCAATCTGAATAATGTTTGGATATTGGAAAAAAAATATGGCTTTTCTGGATGACTTTTTTAGTTATTGTTACGAGCAAGAGCTGTAAGGTTTACTTTGGAGTCTTAGCTCTCAGTTTAGGCAGACCTTTGTGTTTGTCTGGCTCTCCTACGAGTTGCTACCAAGAATGCAACCTCCTCCTTAGTGGTGGGTATTAGTTACGATTCTTTCCTGATGGAAAACTTAAAGCAGAGTTAACTAACACAGAACTTGCTGAAAATCATGTGCTTAATATTTACTGTTCTGCTTTGTTCCTTCCCCAGAGTTTTTAATGAGTGGCTGGTTCAAGAATAGTGTGCATGAGCCTTTAATGGAAAGACATAAAAATGAGCAACTTTTATGTTGCCTTAATGTGGTACATTTTTTAAATTGGTACAATAAATTATATGCAGCTTTTTATTCTTTGACGTCTTTCCTCCAACTAGTCCATTAAAGTCAGCATTCCCACAGTATGAATTTACTGAATGGGCTGATTCTTCTGTT